CAGACCAGCTTGTAATAGGATTTCTCGGTAGGAAGTAAAAATCAGTGAAAGTTTACAGACATGGGTTGTAGACGAGGTTAACAAGGAAAAGTAACATCAATATCACTGATTTGTTACATCCTGCTATATCGTAAGGAGCCGTAAGCAAACAAAATGTTCTGCCACACAGACATCATTATAATCAGCATTTCCTGGATTAAACGTTTCTCCGGCTATCACATGTGATTGCCCGAAAAGCCTCTGAAGAACTTCTTTAGCTTTCTTATATCCGGCAGATGTTTTCATCATGATGCAACCTTCAGTGGATGCTTTAGCTTTACCCTTGCAGTAATAAATTAAATATAGCAATCGAAGGCTATCATCATCGAATCGGGATTCTACATGAATCTCGAATTGTCTCGTAAATTTTTAATACTCATGTGGTTGTCCATCAAAATAACTTAACTCAAGCATGGGTAGTTCTAGAACTGTAACCGGTCTACAACCGGTCCAGATACTTCAAAGTTCTCATTTAAACTACGATTTTTCGTGCCAGCCAATAACGACTTAAGGTCAGTTAAAGTAGAATTCGTTCCTATCTGAGAGTAAAACGTGAACATAAATACCATAAAAAGGCACTTGCTCTATTACAATGGATTCGTCGTTCAGTTTGTCTTCATGGCTTCCAACAAGACTTGAGCTTAGCTTCTTTTTGCAAGAATTCACTGTAGTACCTGAAATCCAAGGAAAAGAAAAATCCGATCAATTGATACTGTTTAACACATAAGAACCCAAAAAACCCGTTCACTTGAAATATTGTTTTGAATTATCCGATTATCCACAAGTCCAATCGACCAATATCATTTAGAGCTGTAAAATCTAAACAGAGTTTTGATTTTAGGAATGACGGTTCAGGAAGTTTAGATATGCGCCTTGTCCAGTTCAATTCCGAAAAGCAGTTGATGTGGGTAAGTAACGGTTCTATCATTAATCATACAAATACAAATTATTACCTAAACAATATTACACCTTTCCGCCGTCCGTAATAAAACAAAGTGTTTCCAATTCTGGAAGTGGTTCCAAATTTTGATCCAAATTGCACTCTTCCAGTCCAGACGAACGTATCGGCCGCCGGAGAATCAAAATTCGATATAGCTGACGCCATAATTGGTTATCAAATTAAACATTATAATACAGTTCGGAAAGAAACATAGAAACTAAAAAAGGGTACAAAAAACAGAAACTGTAACAAAATACAAATAGTAACATCGCAAAATAGGATAAAACAGATCGCCAAAATGCAGAACAGAAAGAGTCAATAAGAACACATTACAAATGTATACAATGAAGGATTTTCCCAAACAAAGCCTTCCAAGAAGGATTCTACATAAACTTGTGTGTTAGGATTTTAGGGTTGATGTTTTCTAACCGCTTACTTCCTCGTGAAAAGGCAACATCGCTGCAGCTGCTGGTGGTACAAGGGAAACAAATTACTGCTATCGTAAACCTCAAAAGTAAGTAGTATGACTGACGACAAGGAAGCGTGACTGCAGAGTTCAGGGGACAAATGTTTGAGACCGGTCACGCACAGACTTTTTATGAATGGGTTTTTGAGTATTAGCTCCACTCTTAAAAGCCCTTAGTGGGCACCCTTGATACCGGAGACGGAAATCTATAGGGTCAGGGTGAGGTGTGACATTTTTAGGGTCGATCTTTTCTAACCCTTCCTTCCTTGTGAGAAGGCAGCATCGTTGCAGATGCTGGTTGTCCGAGGGAAACACCTTTCTGCTGTCACACCCGTCTACAGTCAGCAGTACGACTTTGCCCTCAGACCTAGAGTAGCTACTTTCAGTCTCATCGTTCTCCAATCGACCTGCCAGGTGTGGTAGAACCTACGGGATTATATATTCCAGCCAATATAGGTCGGTTGGATCATCACGATTAGCTATCCCGACCACCACGTCAGTGTAAGAGCTTCAGTCCAGTACTGATTTGAAATGAGGATTTTACACATCTAGGTCAATTTTCCGTACACGCCAAACTAGTTTAACCTCTGAGCATTCACTTTTCCTCCTCTCAATTTCGTGAACAACCACCTAGCCAAGTTAGGACGTAAGTAGGAGTTCTGCAACAGTGGGTATACACGAGTAACCATAATAATTTGCACTCCAGTAAAATTTCATGAGACGTCTGAATCTGTGTATTTATCCTGCATAAGTATATAACTCTTCTCGTTTCGTCAGTAAAAGTAAACCAATTTTAATACGTGAAGGATCAAGTAATTGTGATTAACTTCCTGTGTAATGAATCTCAAATGGTTTACTACAATCATTTTTGGGAATAACAGTTTATATGTAGACTAATTCCTAACTAAAACATTTTTCCCAGTTATTTCGACCAAAAGTCACCTCATAGGGTTGATATTGTGTTCATTCTGAGACAGTAAGAGGAAGGTCTCCTGTCTGCACTGTGTAAGCACGTCTATTTCAATCTACTCTAACTATATGCCTTTTTGTCTGGTGTTCAACTAAGAAATGCATTTCACTACTTTCCCTAAGATAAGCCAGTGTAAATGAGTTTAAGCCTGAAATGTAACCAATGTTTATTAATTATCATTTTACTGTTACGCCTAAGGAGTTTTTGTAAACTTGATATAGCAGTTACGCGTCTCGCCTATCCAAATCAATTGTAAAAGGTGTGTTCTTATTTTCCTAATAAATTGAATCAACACAGTTAATAACTGTAACTGTAAGTATACCTTACCATTTTCTCGTTTTGGTTGTGCACTAATATAATCTTAGTGACAATACAACCAATATTAATCAAATGGTTATACTTTAGGTGACAATGCTACGATTTAAAAGCTACTTGTACAACTGACAATTCATGAATAATACGGTAGTTCAAACTTATTTATAAGAGCCATTTTTATTGTTTTGCCCACCTTTTCCTTTGTTTCTGAGTACTCACGGCCTCTGACTGCTGGTTGTAGCACTATATACATGTTGTTAGCATAATGCGAAATTATTTTTCGGCATGTTCATAAATTTTCTTATTATTGTTTTATTAACATATTCAGGCCGAAACATACAAAATTATAGCCTTTATACGTCCTTTAATGTCTTCCAAATAGACAAGGTTTGGTAACAAATACACTAACGCATATATATTTCATCCAACCAAGCCTCACTTATATTACTTTGTGCACTTATGTACGCAGAAAGCAAGACACAATTTTCTACTACTATGATAAAGCTCGCTCATTATTTTCAATGGGGATATTTTCCTTGGAGAGATGCCTTACATCAGAAAAGATCTTGGAGCCTTGGCACCATGATCTAAAAAGAGAGACTGACTATCAGCAACCTATTCCAACTTTACTTCCTACCATCTATTCCTCCCCATCTTCTTATACGCTCTATACTACCAACTGGATAAATAGCTAATTTGGTTGTCTAAACAGTTGTTTTATCTGAGCGTTCCAATTTTCCCGCATGATTTTTTCTGTTAAAACCAACTAACCTACTGCTTGTTAAAATGATAATGCTTGGTACCCAGATGCTCTACTTCTTTGAGGCAAATATATTCATTCTAAATACAAGACATATTAACCGGTACATACTTAAGGCACTGACTAGAGTTATTACAATCGGTTTATACAACCTAGTTGTAGAGATACTGGATTATAATAATATCCCTCTTTTGCTTGGTAAATATACTTAGATGCCCACCTGAAGACATCAGCAACACATACCTAATAGGCAGGGAAGCGCTTTCATTGAAATATTATCTATTTCTTACTCAACCATCTGAATTATTTGAAACCTTTCATATTTTGAACACTACACACATATGAGAAACCTGTTGGCGTGTACAATTGAATTTTCTACTTTAGCAGTTCACTCCTCTCGGATAGTGTAGGTTTATACGCGTTCACCCCAGTCCAGGAACAAAAACACGATAATTCTGGGAGAAAACGGTTCTATTAATCGATAAAATGGAAATACAGACAATTACCAAAACAATATTACACTTTCGAGTTCACAATTAACACAATGGGTATCCGTTTCTGGAAGAATACGTGCTTCCAGTCAGTTAGTGCTAAGGTATCAAATCAAAATATGGCTGTAGCCATATTAAATATCAAATTTAAACAACATATGTACAGTTCAGAAGGAAACATAAAAACTTCAATATAAGTACAAGATATAGAAATAATAACAATATACAATGATAAAATCTTAAAATGTAATCAAATAAACTACCAAAATGTCAAACAGAAAGAGTCAGTCATATCATAACACAAATATATATACATGGAGGGATTTTCCAAAAACAAAACATTCAAAATAGATTCTCCGGCGTGACCATCTTACTGATGCATCACCACCACTCCCCTCTAGGGAATCCTCGAAGAATCGCACATGAAAGAGCTAATACTCAGGTTCGTGCACGCTGTTTCTCATTTAGAGTCATCGCAACTTGGAATGTGCCCCCAGCCTAGATGACTACAACCCTCTCAGTGGACAGCATTAACAATAGACTTGGGAATCATATACTCACCTACGGATTTTCATCTCCCTCTTGGATAAGCTGTGCATTATGTATATCTTGAGACCCGTTAGTTGTTATTATTGCCATCTCCTCAGATCACTCAATTATTCTATCTCGCCTATTATCTCTGTTTCCTCTTCCTTGCTTACACTTCCGTCCTCTCTCACAATCTTTACTACCAATTAATATACCAAATTATCTATATATTACTTAGTTCAGAAAATTTATTCATATTAGCATTATAATTTTATCCTTATTATTCTCCACACTGGAAATAACTGACCGCTTGTCTCGTAATGTGATAGCTGCCTGTATCCAGAAACCCTACTGCCCTGAAACAAGCGTATTCATTCAAATCCCTAGACATGCAAACTCACAACCAACTGCTAACTGACTAGAATTAGACAGTCCAGTGGCTAGATCGTCATTCATTGGACACTCGTGATCCTATAGGCGGGCAGTTTGAAATGTCAGGTGGCAATGGAGTCTCTGGTGTTCAACATAATAATTTAATTGTAAGTTTCTGAGTTATATGGAAGGATAATTGGATGTTGTACTGTTTCTGTTGTCTATCTTTCATTTCTTATCACGATGTAAAGCATGAATAGTATCTGATCTTCAGTGTTTTTTTATGAGATGCGTGACACTGATGCGCTGCTTAACTTACCGTTTACAATAGTCTTACCCTGAATACACTCTGTTTTCGTCGTTGGTTTAGTGTATTTTATATGGGTCGTCACTTTTCATCGAAAATTGTTCGAACCAAGTATGTTTGGACTAAGTACGCTATTTCTCCAGAGATGACAGTTTCCAAAGATACTCCCTGATTTAGTAATATTTAAATTGTGGTGTGTACCATTATGTTATGTCTACATAACCTGTTTTGTCTCTGGATAAACCAGTCAACCTATTCTCGAATCATTCACACATTTGACTGAGTTAATTCTTCTTTCAAAACCTTAGCTATTTTGTTTGATTGTGTGTATTGCTTACTTTGATGATCATATTCCTAGCTTACTTTCGTCTGACTGGAAATACCTGACCATGCTTTATCGGAAGAAGTTGGCTCACTCGCCATCTCCACTTCGCTTCGCTTTGCCTTAACGCTTGGTATTCTAATATCTGTCTTAATAAACGATTACTTAAAATCAACTCATCCAACGGAATCCGTATCCTGCTTATCACCATTGTCAAACAAACGGGTTGGCTTACTCGCCTACACTTGGCTTCACTTTGTTTCACTTTGCGCTTCCCATTCTTATGCCTGTCCGGATATCGAATGTATGAAGTAAATTCATCCAAATAAAACCGTATTGAGCTTTTAATTGCCGTTGTCGCACAGTCGGCGTTCACCAAAGTACAAAATACAGAAACTAAAAAAAAGATATATCTCGTAGAGTTTACAGTTCTTACAAACAAAAGTCGGTCTTGACCCACTGAAAAATGCATGCTGCATAAGATATTTCATCTTATATGTGCATACAAGTCTCACGCAATGTATCTCTCAGAATTAGGATTGGTTAGTCTCTGCTTACTTATAACATAAAGTACTATCTGATACTTCATGCTATAATCTATGACATCTTTTACTCAACAAACCCTATTAGATAAATTGCTTTCATTGACTTCAATAAGGATTCGACTCCTATTCTACATTCTTTGTTTTGGTAATCTAAATCTTGTCATTGCAACCTATACAACATGAGTTAAGCCGATGCTAAACGATCACGTAAAAAAGGCTGTGCGTGACTGGCATCAAGATCACACTTCCAGGTCTCTAAGACCAACACTAATCCGACTTCTTTTTCAAGTTCCTCAGGAAACACCCACGTAATGAGCAGCCGGGTAGTGACGCGTAACAGCACACGAGACCCAATTGGTCAAAATTAAATCCATCCTACACCCCCTAATATCTCTCTTATCTCCACGACAAACTCCTCCCACATTCCTTTATCACCCTGACCTGCTAATACAAACGATTAGAGTTCAAAAAACACCATTTCTGGTCTCCTGAAACCCCGTTCTAAACCACATGTTGGAGCATTCAATATACGGACATTGTGTCAAATAGGGAAACAGGACTCACTAGCTAGAACTTTAGAATCTCGCGCCATCGATGTGTGCTGCGTCTCGGAAACGCGCATACAGGATCCTAGTAAAATCAATAATTTGATTTCACCTTCTCAAAATAAAGAAGCAACTCGATTTACTTCTCGTGTATCTGGTAGCCCTGATGCTGCTTCTCGGGGTCTCGTTGGCGTAGGTATAGCATTGAGTCCTAGGGCAGAACTAGCTCTCTTTGACTGGATCCCAGTAGATAGTCTCTTGTGCGCTGTCCGATTGAATGGGACAGTGAGGACTCGGGAAGATAGGGATACCCGTCGTTGCGTCTTCGTCGTATCTGCCTATGCCCCCACTGACTGCAGTTAAGACGAGGTGAAAGATGACTTTTACAGAAAGCTTTCGGACCTCCTCCAAAAAGTTAGACAATCTGATATAGTTATAATGACTGGTGACTTCAATGCTCAAGTAGGTAGACTAAGTGAAAATGAAAGACACCTGGCTGGATGTTATGGTGTTGCGGCTCAGAGAACAAATAATGGTGACCGTCTGTTGCAACTGTGCTGAGATAACCGCCTATTCTTAGCAAACACTAACTTTGGGCACAAGGAAAAGCATCTTTTGACCTGGCAACTCCCAAAGTTGTCTCAACGATGGACCCAACTAGATCACATTGCCATCAGTCACCGATGGAGGTGTTTGACAGAGGATTCAGATAATGCATTATTGCGAGCGCGTGTTTCTTTGCGACTTGCTGATCGTGCTGCGACAGTGGGTATACACGAGTAACCATAATAATTTGCACTCCAGTAAAATTTCGTGAGACGTCTGAATCTGTGTGTATATAACTCGTCTCGTTTGGTAAGTAAAAGTTAACCAATTTTAATACGTGAAAGATCAAGTAATTGTGATTAGACACAGACACAGATACAACGCAGAACTTCGTACGCACGTACATCAGTTCAGGTTGTCATGCTCCATCAGCACAGAGACGCAACTGTCAATTCAAATCCAAGAGTGATAGCAATAATAGAAGTATTAGCAGTAATGGAGAAGATTAGAAAGCGAAGATATGATTCGAGTTGTATAATTCAGTAAGATAAATTTAGAAGGAGAAAGAGAGAGATTATGAATAATGCAGAAGCTTAGAATTTCATAGAGCACAATGATTGGATGCACCTGCGCCATTGCAAACGATTCTGAGCCATGTCGTTCAAGGTCTCTAACCATCGGTGACTATCGTCTCGCGGACCCCAACCAGGTAGCCTACATCTACCAACATGACTCAGTCCACTTGTCAGTGACTTCATTTATTTGTGCCATGTTTTTGCTTGGCCGCCCCTAGCTTTCATCCAATCTACTCCTACACTGCAAAACAGCTCGCCGCGGCAGTTGGTGGTTAGCCATACGTAACACATGTCCCAACCACCTCAGCTGATGAAGTTTCACTACTTCATCTATTGATTTGCCGTCCCTACTTAGAACTCGTTTCTTACGACAGCATTGGTTATACGGTTGTCCCATGATACACGAGCAATGCTTCGGAGACATCGATGATCGAAGACTAGTAACCTACGGAAGTTCTCCACTCTTAAAGGCCAAGTCTCGCATCCGTACAGTAGGACGGAGCGAACTGCTGCATAGTACACTCGTCCTTTAATCAGCAGACGGATATCTCACCTGCGCCATAAGTGACGCAGGCTGGCAAAAGCCAATCGACCCTTCTGTATCCGAGCTGAGATTCCATCAGTCACCAGGCCATCAGCACTGGTGAGATTCCCGAAGTAAGTGAAGCGGTCGAAACGCTCGACTACTTCACTCCATATCACTAGTTCAGGTGCCTACGCAACCCAATCTTGAAGCAACATTTTGCATTTCGCGAGGGAAACCGGATCTCAAACATGCTTGCATTGTTGCTTAGGATGGTCAGAAGACTGCATTTTGTCAGCGTCTTCACCAAGTAGGACTATGTCATAGGCATATTCTAAGTCGATTAGCAAACCTCCTGGTAATAGGTCTACTCCTGAAAATTCAGACGAGGATAAAGTTATTCATAAGAGCATGTCTATGATAAAATTAAACAAGAATGGAGAGAGTAGACATCCCTGACGGACACCACTTGAAGTAAAGAATTCCGATGACTGTTCACCATAAGCTCTTACTCGACCAATGGTGTTCGAGTAGAGAGCCTGTAAAAGGTGAATGTACTTTTTTGGTACACCTTTCGATGACAGACACTGCCACAGAACCTCACGATCCACTGAGTCGAATGCCGCTTTTAGGTCCAGGAAGACAACTATTGTAGAACGCCTAAATGTGTGTCTGTGTTCCAAGACCTGCTGTAGTGTGAAAATATGGTCTATACAGCCACGACCTGGTCGAAAACCAGCCTGGTTTTCTCTAGTCTGCTCTTCAGGGGCACTAATCAGGCATCTAAGTATAATCGAGGCTAACAATTTAGAAACTTTATTACTTAGACTGATACCCCCGTGATTGTCACAAAAAGACTTTTGTCCTTTCTTATAGATTGGGACAATCAGTGATTGAGACCACTCGGATGCGATTACGTCCAGTTCCCAGATTCTACCTAAAATCTCAGTCAACCTAGCTGCTAAAACTGGACCACCGTCCTTAAATATTTCAGGGGTCAGTCTATCAGGACATGCTGCTCTACCACGCTCTAGATTTCCTATAGCTTTCTCAACTTCTCAAAGACTAGGAGGACTTACGTCGATTAGCCATTCAGGATGACTAGAGATCGTGGGTAGCCGAAGAGTGGCTCGAGGTCAGTTGAACTGATCTCTTAAGTGTTCTGCCCATCGATCCAATTTCCTAGATTGAGAATAAATATTAGTCCCATCATATTCCGAGATAGTCTCACTTACACTAGGATTCCTAATACCAGTTTCCTTGATAAGTCGGAAAAGTTGTCTACTGTTGCCGATCGCCGCTGCCCTTTCCATCGTCTTTGCTTTCGCCACCCACCACTGTTCACGGTCGTTGCGCAGGCTTTTTATCAGCCTGCGATTAAGTTGACTTCGTTCTTCATCATGTTCAGAGCCAGGTGGGATGAGTTTTCGGGCATCCATCAGTTCGGTGGATGCTACAGAGATTCATGATTTCATCCTAAACCTATGGTTAATCTTATTAGCAGATATCACTGCTGTTTCCACAGCCTTCTTGATATCATTCCAACCTGCCCCCGGATGGGAATCTCTTAAATGGTCGCCTATCTGTCTTTCTAGTTCCTGAAATATATTCTTCGCCTTATTATCATTAAGTAACACCCTAAGAGGCTTTCTTACGGTGTCTTTCCTACGTCCAGTAAGCCTCAAACAAATAAGAGCTCGCACTAGGGCATGATCTGAATCAAAACATGTGCCCCACAACGAGCGACAGTCCTCTATCAAACATCTCCATCGGTGACTGATGGCAATGTGATCTAGTTGGGTCCATCGTTGAGACAACTTTGGGGGTTGCCAGGTCAAAAGATGCTTTTCCTTGTGCCCAAAGTTAGTGTTTGCTAAGAATAGGCGGTTATCTCAGCACAGTTGCAACAGACGGTCACCATTATTTGTTCTCTGAGCCACAACACCATAACATCCAGCCAGGTGTCTTTCATTTTCACTTAGTCTACCTACTTGAGCATTGAAGTCACCAGTCATTATAACTATATCAGATTGTCTAACTTTTTGGAGGAGGTCCGAAAGCTTTCTGTAAAAGTCATCTTTCACCTCGTCTTAACTGCAGTCAGTGGGGGCATAGGCAGATACGACGAAGACGCAACGACGGGTATCCCTATCTTCCCGAGTCCTCACTGTCCCATTCAATCGGACAGCGCACAAGAGACTATCTACTGGGATCCAGTCAAAGAGAGCTAGTTCTGCCCTAGGACTCAATGCTATACCTACGCCAACGAGACCCCGAGAAGCAGCATCAGGGCTACCAGATACACGAGAAGTAAATCGAGTTGCTTCTTTATTTTGAGAAGGTGAAATCAAATTATTGATTTTACTAGGATCCTGTATGCGCGTTTCCGAGACGCAGCACACATCGATGGCGCGAGATTCTAAAGTTCTAGCTAGTGAGTCCTGTTTCCCTATTTGACACAATGTCCGTATATTGAATGCTCCAACATGTGGTTTAGAACGGGGTTTCAGGAGACCAGAAATGGTGTTTTTTGAACTCTAATCGTTTGTATTAGCAGGTCAGGGTGATAAAGGAATGTGGGAGGAGTTTGTCGTGGAGATAAGAGAGATATTAGGGGGTGTAGGATGGATTTAATTTTGACCAATTGGGTCTCGTTTGCTGTTACGGGTATGAGGGCGGTTGGTACTTCCGGGCTGCTCACACCGTGGAACGTTGTTTCTTGAGGGACCTGAAAAGGAAGATAGATTAGTGTTGGTCTCAGAGACCTGGGAGCCTGACCGCAGAGTCCAAGCGGCAACTGCTTGAGGGCGGTCACGGACGGCCTTCTTATTAAAGGCTTTTTGAGTAATAGCTCCGCTCTTGAAAGCCCTTAGTGGGCACCCTTACCGCCGGGGACTGAAATCCGTGAGGTTAGGTGAAGTGTGACATTTTTAGGGTCGATCTTTTCTAACCCTTCCTTCCTTCCTTGTGAGAAGGCAGCATCGCTGCAGATGCTGGTTGTTCAAGGGAAACACCTTTCTGCTGTCACACCCGTCTACAGTCAGCAGTACGACTTCGCCCTCAGACCTAGAATAGCTACTTTTAGTCTCATCGTTCTCCAATCGACCTGCCTGGCATGGTAGGACCTTCAGGAACATATGTTCCAGCCAATATAGCTCGGCTGGGTCATCACGATAGGCGAGCCGGATCACCACGTCAAGGTAGCAACTATGGTCGGGAGTAATTGTGATTTATTTCCTGTGTAATGAATCTCAAATGGTTTACTACAATCATTTTTGGGAATAACAGTTTATATGTAGACTAATTCCTAACTAAAACATTTTTCCCAGTTATTTCGACCAAAAGTCACCTCATAGGGTTGATATTGTGTTCATTCTGAGACAGTAAGAGGAAGGTCTCCTGTCTGCACTGTGTAAGCACGTCTATTTCAATCTACTCTAACTATATGCCTTTTTGTCTGGTGTTCAACTAAGAAATGCATTTCACTACTTTCCCTAAGATAAGCCAGTGTAAATGAGTTTAAGCCTGAAATGTAACCAATGTTTATTAATTATCATTTTACTGTTACGCCTAAGGAGTTTTTGTAAACTTGATATAGCAGTTACGCGTCTCGCCTATCCAAATCAATTGTAAAAGGTGTGTTCTTATTTTCCTAATAAATTGAATCAACACAGTTAATAACTGTAACTGTAAGTATACCTTACCATTTTCTCGTTTTGGTTGTGCACTAATATAATCTTAGTGACAATACAACCAATATTAATCAAATGGTTATACTTTAGGTGACAATGCTACGATTTAAAAGCTACTTGTACAACTGACAATTCATGAATAATATAATAGTTTCAATTTAATATTGTTAGAAATTCGGGTTTTGATGATGATTATATGAGGATGTAAAATTGTTTCAGTCCGTTGTAAACAACCTGAAACTCATCACTTCATCAGCTCAAGTTCCCACACTTCATCACAATAAGATGTAAATCTTAAAATAGTTTTAGTTGTATTCATTGTGAAAATTTAATAGCTATAAAAAAGGGGTCGGAACTAATAATGTAAGTAAAATATGAGACTGATACAGTTTGAAGAACGGATTCGTGTTAGTTGTACAAATTTCTCTTCAGTAATAAGGTCTAGTTTGTGAAACGGATTGCTTATTCTTCGTCATACGTAAAACACATAACAAATAAATGAGATGCAATGAGTAACCTGACTGTTTTTATTGAAGCCAAGTTGACATTCTGTTTGTCAAGTAGGCAAATTTTCATCCTCCTAGTGAAAGAATCACTGTTTGCATTTTCAAATTTTGTGTTCATCTGCATTAGCCTAACTTAATATTTCTTTACAAAAAATTTGCCTTTGTATTTTACAGGGACGTTTAAAGTCTGATTATGTCAATACTGCTATGTACTTCGCTCGTTTGGGAACACTGTTTAGCTGTTTCGTCTTCTTCTTTGAACCACTTCTCTCTCGTTTGCGCCCGACAGATCTGGAGGTTTGGTATCGAAGAGCATTACTAGCAAGCGCGGCGACTTCAGCTCTACGTTTGCATCAGCGAATAAAAAGTTTGAATACGGGGTTCTCTCGAGAAGTTTTAGAGGTCTTCGTCGCTGAGGATTCTTCTCATTACTTACTTTTTTCCATTATGTTTGCAGTATTACCACCAGTCACAGGTATCATTTCCAAGTTGTTATGTTTGCACACTTTTTTGACTCTGTTCTAAATAATACATATTTGGTAGACCTGTCATTTAAATACTTCATGAAGAGTATTTTATTGTTTCTTCATTATGTTGCTAGACTACGTTTCCAACCCTCATATGGTTCTGTTCGATGACGCACTTACCATCCAAAATTTTCTGTAGATTAACCAGAGTTCATTTAAAGGGTGCCGTTTACCTTCATTTTGCTAATCTTCTCTCCTATATTGTTGTGGATGTTAGATCCCCAAAATTTGCTTGATGATGCCTTATTTTGGTTTTCACGTTTGCCGGCATGGGCTGATCAGTTGACCTTAAGATTTCAATTCCCACTAGGAAAATCCATGGCTGTGAATTTTAGTATGCTATTTTCTTAACTGTCTCAAGGACGTTCCTATGTTGTATAAATAAACGACAGTTGTATGCTTGATTGTACTGTGATTGCTGGGTGTTTGTAGAATATACTTCTACGCTTAGAAAGCCTTTTATTTCGACTTTGGGTATTCAAGGAAGCCTACCTTGACGCTGGCAAAGGTCTCGTTCGCTTTTATCGACTAAGGTAAACTCGTAATAGCCTCAAGAATACTAAGCGACGAACTTATAATATATGTGTGTGTTGAATGAGTCGTTTCTCGAAATTTTTATCCATACAGTTCTCTTTAGTCTTATATAACTGATCTCGTATATAGCCGTAAAATGTAAATTGTACTGTTATACTAATGTCTTTTACTATAATTCCATTTCCACCATTTTACTGATATGAGATTCTATATATTGATAAGTGTATTTACTGGTTAGGAATTACTATAATTCAGTCATTAGTAATAAGATGTTATGATGAATAATATAATAAATTCAAAAGACTAAAAGTCAAAAGCACAACTACAGTTTTGGAGATTGTATTGTAATTTCTCAAATAATCAAGTGAAAGTCATAAATCACAATATTATTTTATTAACGATAGTAAAATAATAAAGATAAAATAGTTGTAGGCATTCAAATTTAATGAATTAAGATGAAGAATATTGTTTTTTATTTTACAACAATATGGTGTCATATATATGTATATAGAATTAGCTTTTAAAATCCAAAGGCGCTACTAATTTATCCCATTTGAACTCGATTGTGCGAATTTCGAAAAAATTTCCTCGTTGTGACACTTGTTCCACACCTGTTATTCTCGAAGTTTCCTCTTTTTATAATTTTTAGTTATGGGTCATATTTTTACTCTTACATTTTTCTCTTATCGTTATCTCCTAACCATCTTGATCTTGATTTGCTGTGGCTTTATCTGATTTGCCTTTATATTGTGTACTATTACTTGTTCCTTTCTACCAATCTGTTATTGTCAGGGTTCTTTAGACTCTTGGAAAGTGAGTTGTTTGACATCGGTGCAAACATTGATGCGATTCTAGAATGTTAGATGTTGTATTATACACTAGTTATCCTCCGTTCTAAACTTATTTTTTCCTCTTTAATTATAACATTTCTCTATCCTCTGTTAAATTGTGCCACTGAAACCCTGATTTTCGTTCTAAGTAACGTTTTTCAAATCAACTGATATGAATTTCACTGCGTGAAATTTTCTCTCTTGATTTAGTTTCTTTAGTGCCGGTCTTCCTATTCGCCCTCCTACACGTGGCCAGCTTCACAAATGTTCTTTTGAGTGTAAGTTAATTCATAAACTTTCCAGTAGTTAATTGCTTGAAACTTTTCCCAGATTATTTTGATAATCGGATTGACTGTTATAAGTGATCTTTCACTGTACTACTAGTTTAGCATCCATCAATTCCATGTTTATATCCTACTTTTAAAAGCATGAGTGTATTGGTATCAGTCAGTCAGTCAGTCAGTTTCAACGTAGAACTTCGTACGTACGTAAGTCATTGTTACCATACCACATAAATACAAAGATGCAGTTGTCAGTTCAAAACCCGTATTGGTATTAGTGGTAAAGGAGATGAGGATTCGAAGAAATTATTCAAGTAGTATAACTCAGTGAGATGAATTTAGAAAGATAATGATAGAAGTGATAAGAAATTCAGAAGATTAGAATTTGAGAGAACACAAATAGTGGATATACCTGCGTTATTGAAAACGATTTTGAATCATGTCGTTCAAGATCTCTAATAATCGATTAGTATCATCTCGCGAGCCCCAAGCCAGTAGTCGTCACCTACCAACATGGCGTAATCTACTTGCGCGGACTTCATGGATTTAAGCCATGTTTTGATTTGTCCGTCCCTAGCTTTCTCCCAACCTCCAACACATAATATCGCTCTTCGAGGCAGTTGGATATAATTAACACATATTGCAACCACCCTAACTGATGAAGTTTTAATACTCCATCTATTGACCTGCAATCCTAACCTAGTGCTTGTTTCCTAACAACGGCACTGCTTACTCGATAGTCTCAAGATAGACGAGCAATGCTTCGGAGACATCTATGATCGAAAATAGTGGTGACCCAACGATACAGATGGTAGATCAACCAGCACAATCGAGGATAGTTTCGTGCTTATTATATCATGACATCGCATCAAAATTATACACGCAAGCATATATATATATATATATATATATATATATATATATATATATTTACCGGTTTCGGACTGTGATACAACTGCTGTTCTTTTATCAAGCGGGATATACTTACTTACTTACTTACTTACGCCTGTTATCCTCAGTGGTGCATAGGCCGCCCACCAGTTTTCTCCAACCAACTCTGTCACGGGCTTCCCTTTCCAGTTCTGTCTAATTTTTGTTCATTCTTCTCATATCCTTCTCCATTTCTGGGCGAAATTTGTTCTTTGGAGTTCCTCTTTTCCTTTTGCCTTGAGGGTGTGTGTCCTATTTACTTCCAACGCTTCTTCCTGATTTCCAACTCCGTTGGAATCTGGTTTGTTCTCTCCCACAGTACGTTTTTGATGATGGTGTCTGGCCAACGAATACGAAATATTTCGCGTAGACAACTGTCAATAAACACTTGTATCTTCTGGATGATGACTTTAGTAGTTCTCCAAGTTTCCGCTCCATATAGTAGAACTGTCTTGACATTTGTATTGAAAACCCTGATTTTGGTTTTGGTTGAAAGTTGTTTGGAGTTCCAGATATATTTCAACTGTAGAAATGCAGCCCTTGCTTTGCCAATCCGCGAGTTATACGGTATGCCGAAGAAAGGTTGTATTAAACTTCTGTGATGTTGTCTGTCCTGTTGTCCAGTGCTTCTTTAGTTTCAGTTTCACTTTGGCGATCAGCAAGTGGTGATCTGAGGCTATATCAGCTCCTCTCTTGGTTCTCACATCCTCCATAGTCCTTCTGAACGTTTTGTTGATACAGATATGGTCGATTTGGTTTTGAGTAGTGTGGTCCGGTGAAATCCATGTGGCTTTGTGAATGCGTTTGTGCGGGAATATTGTGCCACCGATGACCAGTTTGTTGAAGGCACATAGGTTTGCGAATCTCTCACCGTTTTCGTTCCTTTCTCCCAGTCCATGTCGTTCCATGATGTCTTCATATCCAGTGTTGTCCATTCCAACCTTGGCATTCAGGTCTCCCATCAGAACCGTCAAATCCTTTGGTGAGCATCTGTCGACGATTGACTGCAGCCTTTTGTAGAATTGATCTTTATCGTCGTCATTGTAGTCATTGGTAGGTGCATAACATTGGATGACGTTCATTGTAATGTCCTGTTTCTTTGTTTTGAAGGATGCTTTAATGATCCTGTATCCATGAGATGTCCATGCTATCAGTGCCTTTTGTGCTTGTTTTGGACAACATCAGTGCAACTCCTTGTGCATGTGAAGCATTTTCCTCATCAGGACCAGAGTATAACAGCAGTTCCTCTGAAGCTAGTCTTAGTTGTCCTACCTGCGTTCAATGAGTTTCACAGATTCCAAGCACCTCCTGGTTGTGTCTTTTGATTTCTGCTGCAATTCTGAACAGTCTTCCAGTCTCCAACAATGTTCGAATGTTCCATGTACCTAAAAGAATGGTTGCTCTGGTTGCCAGAAGGGGCATTGGTTTCATGACTTCCGAGGGAACTCGACTTCCATCACGCGACGTCATAATTCTTCTTCCAACTCCCAGTGCAAAGTTAAAATGATTTGAATTGTTTCTTCTGGTTATCGTATTTTTGGAAAGTTAGTTTTTTTGACGGGATGGAGGTCGCCAACCCATGCCCAAACCTTCTCCCTTATCCTTGCTTAGGACCGGCAGTAGCCCCGAAGGGTCTACAGACGCAGTTAAACCTTTCATCAGAAGCTTTTTAATTGGATGTGATTTGTGGCCTTCAGTGATACACAGGACGCACTTCTTTCTGTTTGAGATTGGTCGGCTGAATTATCTTCAATTTAGGTATCATTCTCTTTTCAGTGGTCGAACCTGGTACCTTTCTTTTGTGACTGGATGTCAATATCAAGGGGATCTCCTCACAATGCACGTATTCCAAAATATGGTCCCAAACATTAACAAAATAACTGGTTATAGTTGTTAGTTATTTCCATAACTAATTGTAGTTATGCTTTAACTAACCAATCAAATTGTAGTTTAAGCGTTCATCACTTGATCTGGTCTGACGTGCCCGTAAACTAGTTTGTAAATGACCCACTAATTAAAGGACATTATTATCCTATTATATTGATGTGACTCATAGTTTTATTCATTTCCGTAAGACACGGTATATTGGTCGGTATGTTTATTGGTTTCACTTGATAACTGTAATTTCCTTATTTATTGTACTAATCTTATTGCTTATATGTTTAGAAACAGATAAAGTTTAAAACGAAATTGGTCTTGTGTTTGACTATAGATTTCCCACAGACTCTGTGCTCGCCAATATTGCGTTTATAGTTCTAGAAGTACATCTGTAGTACAAATTAAATCCTACAATAGTCGTTTCCGTGTGTAAAATGTCCCACTTCTCTCTGCTTTTCACTTCGCAACTGCATAAAAGTTGGGTCAATGAGAGAGCAATCAACTGTTTCTATCTATCCATCATCCACAGGTTGTTATGTTTATTTTTTAAACCTTATTTGGGAAGTTACTAAAGACGACTTCCAACAAAGCACAGAATTTATCTGTCTAATTGATAAAATCCTTTTTCGTGAACCTCATTGTAAACACAGAAATTTACTTCTTTATTTATGCTTCAGACTTCCTTTTCTCAGAATAGTGGCGGAATGAATGATGGTTCTAATGCCGCAGTTAGTTCGTCAAGTGCATCATATATCCATCAGATACTACAAAAATTGGTTGATAAAGTAAAGGCTCATGATCAAAATATTTTACGTATAATTGCTCTAAATGAAATCATGCTGATGGTGATCTGCATATTTATGGCTCTTTCTGGACCCAGAATTTTTGTCCTTCCCTTTGTTTACTACCCATTCTTAAAAATGCGTTATAATTCCAGACGTAATCCTTATACTCGGTAAGTTATCAACTGGTAATACTTATTATTTAACAATGCCTTCTGTTGTTTTCTGCCAAACTTGAATATAATGGCTCTTATGAAAGCTTCAGGCATACCGATAGTTTGATTAGGCTAATATTCGATTTTATGTTGTTTTTATTCGATCTCTTTTCTCTATCTAAAGTGATTATGTAATTTATCCCGTCAAATACCTCAGAAAATTGGACAAGATTATATATGGACCGAGTTCTCTCTGCCTTTATCGTAGTTGTAACTTTATAATGTGTGCGATGTCCGGACGCGCATACAGGATGCGAACAGAATCATTAATTTGACTTCACCTTCTCAAAACAAAGAAGCAGCTCGACTTACTCTTCGTGTATCTGGAAGTCCTGCTGCTGCATCCCGTGGCTTGTCTGGAGTATGTATAGCATTGAGTCTTCGATGGATCCCAGTAGATAGTCTCTTGTGCGCTGTCCGATTGAATGAGACAGTAAGGACTCGGAAAGATTGGGTCACTCGCCCTCTTCGTTATATCTGACTGTAGTTTAGACTAGGTGAAAGATGAGTTTTCCAGAAACTTCTCTAACCTTCTTCAAAAATTTAGGCGCTCTGATATACTAGTAGTGGCTGGTAACTTCAATGCTCAAGTAGGTAGACTAAGTGAAGGCGAAAGACACTTGGGTGGGCTTTAGGGAGTAGCCATAGACCACACTAGCATCAACAGAACTGATAGCTGTTCGGAAACTGATCCCTCCTGGCACTGAACATGATGAACAGTGCAATATGCTTAAGTTCAGATTGATATGAAGTCTACGCAGTTATCGCAAACAGTCGTGGGCGGCGAAAGCAAGAAAGACGGCAAAGACAGCAATGACAGGTAGCACGAGGCACTATTCGTAGGTTAGTGGTTTTCGATCATAGATGTCTCCGAGGCATTGCTCGTTTATCTTGGGACTATCGAGTAAGCAGTGCCGTTGTTAGAAAACGAGTACTAGATGAGAATTGCAGATCAATAGATGGAGCATTAAAACTTCATTAGTTGATTTGGTTTCGACATGTGTTGCGTACGCCCAACCACCAGCTTCAACGAGTGATGTGGTCTGAATTTGACTATTGGATCTCTGTGTTAATGTTGTATTGCAACATGGACTTATGTGCGTACATACGAAGTCTTACGTTTTCATTGACCAACTGACTGGATGATGTCTTGTGATTAAGTCCTTTGAAAAAACTGGCTAACTTCATCGATTATTTGTTTGTAATTTCCCACTGCTCATAACCTAAAAACATTGTTGCAATGACATCAATAGTTAACCGTCTATTTCATTTCAATTTTGTAAGGTTTGAATGAAAGTTCACATAAATAATTGGTACGAATTATTTAGGAAAACTGTTTGTACATGCTATAAACTCTTCATATTCTCCTCAGATATTGTGTATAGATCTATTTATTCTCACAAACTTCTAGGTGTTGTATCCTACTTTAAATTTTGTTGTTTCACGTATTATTTGTTTACAGTAACGCATTTTTGGAACTGCGTATAGCACTTCAGAATGTAGCTTATCATTCAAAATGTCCAGCACTTATTTCTCGTATTATTTACGGTCTCATAAATATTGTTTCTCGTTTGGGAACAAGCAGTTACACTGGACGTTAAATTAAAATCTATCTGTTCGTGTAGTTTTGTTTTCTATTGATAGTAAGTTGAATGTGTCTTGACTACTTTTTCTTCCTGTTGCGTCATACTGAGGTAAAAATTTACAAAACTGGTCACATGTCTCTTATAGTGGCGTACTATCCCGTCATCACAATAATTTCTCGTTTTATTCTCGAGCTAAAATACAGTTAGCTACAGTGAGTATGAAACTGTAATGTTTTCATAATGTTTTTGAGTTTAGGAGTTAGGGCTCTTAACTCTAATAATCGTAAGTAATAAGTGTCAATAACTTCAATTTCTCTTATCAAAAATTAAATGACATACATACCTAAGGTAATGAAGCACTGCATGATTATTACTATTTTATGGTTTGTCGACGACTGAAATGAGATAATATTAGTGTCGGTTTCGATGTCGCTAAAACTCTTAGTGCATCCATATTTTGTAGATTAATTGAGTATAGATATTCTTAAATACTCATGTGTCTAGTTGGAGTAATCAAAGTACTGTTAAGCTTATTTGATTGTTGTTTGAAAGGCATGAATGTTAGAAAATATAAGCCAGTCATTATCGACATGGGACCTGAGGTAAATGTGCTTCAATTCCAGTTATCATTCTACATCAGCACAGTAGAATGAAATTATTAACTTAAATAGTTGAAGCGTCAAACAGTAATGGTATCTCTCACAGGGAATACAAGAACGCGATCGAAAAAAGCATCGATTAACAGAATCAATAGCGTGAAATAAAAACCAAATATAAGGACAGTGAAATATAGATGAATTTGTCGATGTCCGTTATAATTGATTTTGGGCTGCGTCAACCTACATTTCCAATCGCTGATCCTAGTTATCGCGCAGATTCCAAATAAGTTGTCTATACACCCTACATCACCACTTAGTACAACGATAAACATATCATCTCTAGTAATTTATTGCATAAAACTGGAGGATAAAAATCAGTTACTCTCCTTTTTCAATTTTGTTACTGATCCAAAAATTTCTGTCATAACTACTCAATTTACTGTTCTCTTCTAAAAATTTTCTTTAGATCTATCATTTGTTACTGGAGCGTCTTGGTTATTCAGTATTAACATCGATCGGTCAACGTTCAAAAATATTGACATGAACTCATCTTCATTTCATTTTTCTGACTTGTATTTAATAATTCATTTTCCTACTTACATGTCATTTTCCCTGCCCAAGAATTGATGTATATATATATATATATATATATATATATATATATGCTTGCGTGTATAATTTTGATGCGATGTCATGATATAATAAGCACGAAACTATCCTCGATTGTGCTGGTTGATCTACCATCTGTATCGTTGGGTCACCACTATTTTCGATCATAGATGTCTCCGAAGCATTGCTCGTCTATCTTGAGACTATCGAGTAAGCAGTGCCGTTGTTAGGAAACAAGCACTAGGTTAGGATTGCAGGTCAATAGATGGAGTATTAAAACTTCATCAGTTAGGGTGGTTGCAATATGTGTTAATTATACCCAACTGCCTCGAAGAGCGATATTATGTGTTGGAGGTTGGGAGAAAGCTAGGGACGGACAAATCAAAACATGGCTTAAATCCATGAAGTCCGCGCAAGTAGATTACGCCATGTTGGTAGGTGACGACTACTGGCTTGGGGCTCGCGAGATGATACTAATCGATTATTAGAGATCTTGAACGACATGATTCAAAATCGTTTTCAATAACGCAGGTATATCCACTATTTGTGTTCTCTCAAATTCTAATCTTCTGAATTTCTTATCACTTCTATCATTATCTTTCTAAATTCATCTCACTGAGTTATACTACTTGAATAATTTCTTCGAATCCTCATCTCCTTTACCACTAATACCAATACGGGTTTTGAACTGACAACTGCATCTTTGTATTTATGTGGTATGGTAACAATGACTTACGTACGTACGAAGTTCTACGTTGAAACTGACTGACTGATACCAATACACTCATGCTTTTAAAAGTAGGATATAAACATGGAATTGATGGATGCTAGACTAGTAGTACAGTGAAAGATCACTTATAACAATCAATCCGATTATCAAAATAATCTGGGAAAAGTTTCAAGCAATTAACTACTGGAAAGTTTATGAATTAACTTACACTCAAAAGAACATTTGTGAAGCTGGCCACGTGTAGGAGGGCGAATAGGAAGACCGGCACTAAAGAAACTAAATCAAGAGAGAAAATTTCACGCAGTGAAATTCATATCAGTTGATTTGAAAAACGTTACTTAGAACGAAAATCAGGGTTTCAGTGGCACAATTTAACAGAGGATAGAGAAATGTTATAATTAAAGAGGAAAAAATAAGTTTAGAACGGAGGATAACTAGTGTATAATACAACATCTAACATTCTAGAATCGCATCAATGTTTGCACCGATGTCAAACAACTCACTTTCCAAGAGTCTAAAGAACCCTGACAATAACAGATTGGTAGAAAGGAACAAGTAATAGTACACAATATAAAGGCAAATCAGATAAAGCCACAGCAAATCAAGATGGTTAGGAGATAACGATAAGAGAAAAATGTAAGAGTAAAAATATGACCTATAACTAAAAATTATAAAAAGAGGAAACTTCGAGAATAACAGGTGTGGAACAAGTGTCACAACGAGGAAATTTTTTCGAAATTCGCACAATCGAGTTCAAATGGGATAAATTAGTAGCGCCTTTGGATTTTAAAAGCTAATTCTATATACATATATATGACACCATATTGTTGTAAAATAAAAAACAATATTCTTCATCTTAATTCATTAAATTTGAATGCCTACAACTATTTTATCTTTATTATTTTACTATCGTTAATAAAATAATATTGTGATTCATGACTTTCACTTGATTATTTGAGAAATTACAATACAATCTCCAAAACTGTAGTTGTGCTTTTGACTTTTAGTCTTTTGAATTTATTATATTATTCATCATAACATCTTATTACTAATGACTGAATTATAGTAATTCCTAACTAGTAAATACACTTATCAATATATAGAATCTCATATCAGTAAAATGGTGGAAATGGAATTATAGTAAAAGACATTAGTATAACAGTACAATTTACATTTTACGGTTATATACGAGATCAGTTATATAAGACTAAGAGAACTGTATGGATAAAAATTCCGAGAAACACGACTCATTCAACAAACACATATATTATAATTTCGTCGCTTAGTATTCTTGAGGCTATTACGAGTTTACCTTAGTCGATAAAAGCGAACGAGACCTTTACCAGTGTCCAGGTAGGCTTCCTTGAATACCCAAAGTCGAAATGAAAAGCTTTGTAAGCGTAGAAGTATATTCTACAAACACCCAGCAATCACAGTACAATCAAGCATACAGCAGTCGTTTATTTATACAACATAGGAACGTCCTTGAGACAGTTAAGAAAATAGCATACTAAAATTCACAGCCATGGATTTTCCTAGTGGGAATTGAAATCTCAAGGTCAACTGATCAGCCCATGCTGGCAAACGTGAAAACCAAAATAAGGCATCATCAAGCAAATTTTGGGGATTTAACATCCCCAACGCTCCCCCACTTTTTAAGAGCGTGTTCTCCTGGGGTGGACTTGCATCTTGAATATTTTTCGCTGCTGTCTGAGGGAACATCTTCGGGAACGAAGAACAGCTTGCTGCTGTGTTTCTTCTCGTGGCGGGGCACTCGGTAGGTCGGAGGTATCATGCAAGATGTCAAGGTGAAGGCTTTCTTTTATTGATGGGTGATTTGGGGCTAGCCGTCTGCGTATCTGATTCCGATGATGTGACCATTCATCGCCTCCTAACTCTACTTCGTACATAACTCGACCAACTCTTCTGACCACTCTCGCTTCTGCCCAAGGACCATGGTTCGTTCTGTAGTCGAGGGCAAACACAAGACATCCCACTTCGTAAGCGAATTGTCTTTGCTGCTTTGTCTCTACTGATGAGGGTGCATTAGTCGGTTGCATCAGGCTGTCGATCGTTTTCAATCTTCTTACGATCAGAATTTCTGCTGGGTAACAATTCATTTGGTGTTGTCCGATAGACGTACAAGAAATTTTGTAACGTTTCGGCTGGCGTACCCGACGGCCAACCGTTAGTGACATATTTCATCGTCATCCTGATAATAGGGTCGTTTCTAGAAGCATTTTGTATGTCTGTTTCAGACACCGGTAATGCGCGAACTGCGGTTGTCAGATAACATTCTGCGTGGTCTTCTACTGTCAGAGATGCGATCACCATGTTTTCCTCAGCCGCCAATTGATCATTAATGAGTCGTGACAAATCATCTGCTTGACCGAATTGCAGAGTACGTCGATATTGGATTTCGAAATCATACCCCAAGAGTACCAAGGCCCATCGCTGAAGACGATTTGCAGAATGGGCTGGAATGCCAGACTTTGAACCAAATATTGCTAACAGAGGCTTGTGATCTGTGAGGAGCGTGAATCTCCGACCGTACAGAAACTTATGGAAACGGCGAACAGCAAACACAAGGACAAGAGCTTCTTTCTCTATCTGGCTATACTTCTTTTCTGCTGGGGTCAGTGTACGGGATGCATGCATAACGGCTTTTTCTGACGCGTCTGGAAACTGATGTGAAATAACAGCACCTAGGCCATATGCTGAAGCGTCTGCTGCTACGATGATCGGCATGGATGGGTCGTAGTGTGTTCATAACAATTCCGAGCTAATTATAGACTTGAGTTTACCGAAAGCCGCGTCACACTCTTTAGTCCAGTTCCATGTGCTATGCTTCTGCAATAGACAATTCAATGGAGCACGAATATCATGCATCAAGGGAACAAAGGCTGAATAATAAGTGATTAAACCCAGAAAAGATCGTAATTCGGAAACATGAGTGAGAGTGGGCATCAGTTTGATAGCTCGGATGTTTTCAGGATCCGGTCTGCGACCGTCGGCATCAAAGATGAATCCCAAATACTTTACCGACTGCAATAGAAACTGGCATTTTTCTGGGCGTAACCGGAAACCATTGTCACTGATGCGTTGTAGCACCAATGTCATGCGTTCCCGTAGCTGTTCTAACGTCTTCGCAACAATTAAGATATCATCGAGAGAAGCTGCAACCCCTGAGATATCTGATAGGATAGTATCCATTAGTTGTTGGAAGATAGATGTGACAGTCTTAACTCCAAAAGGCAGACGGTTGTACTGGACAAAACCACGATGAATATTGATAGTAAGCAGCTCTTTAGATGCTTCATCGACTTCCACTTGCAAATAAGCATCAGCTAGGTCAAGCTTTGAGAAGAACTCTCCCCCATTCAGCATAGTGAACAGATCTTTTGGGAATGGCAGAGGATAATGATGCTGTTCTAGAGTTGCGTTGAGACCTGTAGAGAAGTCAGCACATATACGTATCGTGCCGTTGGCCTTCTTGATAACGACTATAGGTGCTGCCCAACTGGAGTAAGAAACCGGAGTAATAACTCCTTGTCGTTGAAGGCGATCCAGCTCTTCATCTACTGTTGCTAATGTTGCATAAGGTACGGGTCTCTTTGGACAAAAAGCAGGCTTAGCCCCATGTTTCAACCGAAGTGTTGCTTTCATGGCAGTGCACCGACCTAATCCAGGTTCACAAATGGTTGAAAACTCTGTCATCAGCTTCTTCGTGTATGCTTCGGGGTCATGTGGTTATGATAGCAGGTTGCATATAGCATTTAACGGGACATCAGCCAATTTTAGCTGGTCGAACCAATCTAAACCAAGTAAATTTAGATCACCTGGCGTTATATAACATACCCCAGTAAACGACGAATCTCGGAAAGCAACTTTACATTCCAGTTGTCCTAACAGACGAAGATAATTACCACATGCTGTACAAGGCTTTCGTGTTGTGTGCTGCAGGCTTGGGCTACCCAATTTGGTCCAATTGTTGCGTGAGAGGATAGTGACATCAGATGCAGTATCTATTTGCATTCTACACAAATAACCGTTAATATTAAGAGTAATAAGTTTCCTCTCACCTGGTGATGAGCTTTGGCAGGAAGATATTAGTCTCAATGCATTGGTACTGGATCTAGGAACAGGCTTCTTAGCACTTCTGGATCGGTTTTTCCTTTTCTGTAGGCGAAAGCCATCTTTATGAC